TTTTTTTTTTTTTTTTTTTTTTTTTAAAAAGAGCTTTGGCACAGAGTTTCCTATTTTTTGTCCACTCCCATGTGAACTCAGTGCTGGGGGGGTGGGACGGGTGAGCAGCAGCCTTTGTGCAGCTGGGATAAAAAGCTGCATGTGAAATGGTGCACTGGCGGGCCTGTGCTGCTGCATCCTGGCAGATGCTGCGGCACGCCTCTGTGTGGGAACCTGCTGGAGGAGGAGGAGGAGGTCCGGGACGCAGGGATGCGGCTGCCGCAAAGCATCCTTCAAAAAAAAAAAAAAAAAAAAAAAACAGCGTTTATGATAGGTGGTGGAGAGGAAGGACAAGGGGGGTGGGGGAGGGCTGCACTGAGATAAATCTGGCGAAAAAGGCGTCGGTCCACCGACACCCACGTCTGACAGGTTCCTATGTGTTCTGCGCAAATCGATTGCGAACAACCTTCAGCCTGCATTGCCCTTTTCCCCCTACGCGCAAAATGCGCAGCTGCAACGAGTGCCCGGGCCCCGTCCAGCTAAGACAACGGTGGCTTTTCTAGCTAAATGGACGGCTCATTATGTCGCGTGGAAACCGGAACACGACCATCAGCGAATCCTACGATGTCACATCATCGCATAATCATGGTACCACCTATAGCTCGCCCTCTCCTGCAACAGTATGCGCATCTTTCGATGGGATCCTTTTGATTCCCTTTCTGTGCAATGACAAAGATCTTTATATATATTAGGACAGACACCGATCGGATCACATCACTGCCTCAGTGTGAGCTTTTTTCCTCCTTCAGTGCGCTTAAATCACACCAGCCTGGCCGTGTGTGTGTGTGTGTGTGTGTGTGTGTGTGTGTGTGAAGGATCCTGTTGGAAAGGCACCGCCCCAAGATCAAACAGTCCGCACTCAGACAGCCACAATCCAACGCAGCTCAGCGCCAACAAAAAGCCGCAGATTTACACAAAATCACTGATTTTAATCTCATTATAGCGGATCAGATCACTGATATGCAGAGAGAGAGAGAGAGAGAGAGAGGGGGGGGGGGGGGGGGCGGGGGAGCGGACAGGGAAGGGCCTTTATAGCCCCGTTCAATATGATGTGTTCCCAGATCTGATTTTAGCTGTGATTTACCGCTCTCTGCGGCAAGTCTTCCTCATAAATGTGCTCTTCGATCATAAGTTTCATACACCAATTTTGATTGGCTGATCCGGTAAGGTGAACGCGTGCCAGACCGGAGCGCAGTGGGCTGCGTTCCCCGCGAGCTCGGTCAGCCGCCCCGCGGCTTTGAGACGTTTCCCACTCACACACACCCAGGCTCGGACGTGTCCGGTAATTACCGCACCGAATGGGACTGAAAGAAGAAAGGTCATTACGGCTGAGGGCTACTTACCGACTTCATGGCAGCTGCCATATCATCATACCTCTCCGCCTGCTCGGCCAGCCTGGCTTTCTGCACCAATTGCTCGCGGTCTACCATTTTAGAGGCCGGTTTTGGTGCTGCCCGCTGCGTGTTTTGTCGTAGCTGAGAGCTGTAATGTGGATGTCTGAACGCAGTGTAACGGTGCCGGGTGCTGTCGCCGCAGCTGCTGCCTGCTGTCTGTGTGCCTGCCGACGGGACACCCCTCCCCCTACACGAGCACTTTCCCTGGCTTGTGTCACCACCCAAAAAGGCGTGTCCACACGGAGTGATGTAACGACCCAGGCAGCTGAACCCGAAGGAACGGGGTACAGACCTCCACAGAGGCGCTTCACACCAACCAACATGCACATGTTTTATTGTTATAGGAAAGCAAAGCCTGGTTTTGTCTAATGAACGCCCCTGTTGCGATATGAAGAAGAATATGAATAGTTTACAGCCGTACTCGTTGTTAAATAAATGAATAAATAAAATTTGACTGGATTTCTTAAAGATGCTAACTACCCAAAGCCCCTAAAACCCTCATAAAAGATTGGGAATTAAATTTAACTCTGGTAGGAATAATGACGTCAGTCCCATTTTAAAGGGATCCCTTTAAAATGGGACTGACGTCATTATTCCTACCAGAGTTAGTTCCGATTTTTTTTTTTTTTGACCAAGAGCTGCGGTATGTAACTTTTATTAAACTGTTTTTGTTGTTGTTGTTGTTGTTTTACATATTTGTTAAAACTGTCACCATGTCGTGACAGTTTAATATAAGACAGGTAATCTGTGAAAAGACTGATATTCCTCACCTTCTACCTGGGCTTTTATTACCATGTGGGTGGGGGAAAGGCACCTGACCAGAAACAACCAATCAGAGCTGGCCTTACTGCTGTCAATCATCCTCATGTACTCACAGCAATGTGCAAATGGCTGAGAAACGACTTTTACAGGAAAAAAAAAATTTACCCTCCATCATTGGTGCCCATGCTAACTCACCTGCGCATTCACAGAGTAGCAGAGAGCAAGGAGGGGCGACCCCTGCTGCCACCCTGGGCAAGCCCCTCAATCAGTTTCCCCCAACCAATCAGAAGCTACTACAGGGAAGTCATTTCTTTTAGGGTGACAAGTTTTACAGGCAAATAAAATCTTCTTAAAGTACTTTTTAAAAAGGTTTAGTACAGGACAAATGTCTTGTAAATCAACTATGTTTTGCTCCGTTTAAAGTTATAGTATGTTCGAACCACAAACATCCAACGACGCTCAGACGTAAGCTAAAAAATAAAAAACAATTAACCCTCCAGAACCTCAAAGAAAAAAAATTATCAAGAACCTGAATGCCTCGCTCTCTTTATGTTGTGGCTCTAAACTGATTTACAGAACTCCTAGAAAAATCTAATTATTTTTGATTGTTTGAAAAACAATAGTGCGTGATTTAGTTTATTGTTTGAGAAGATAAATAAAATACTTGTCACATTAATTTTTGCCTTTACTGAAGAGGAAAAGTGGCTCACTAGTGCATTCAGCTTGATTATTTTATCCCTCATGGCAGTCAGTTTGGGCTGTATAGAAATGCATGCCACACTTTGTAGATTTATGGTCTTAAAAAAAATAGGAAAATTACAGAATAATTTTCCTTCAACTTCACAATTATCCATCACTTTACATTAGTCTGAATTTTTTTTTTTTTTACCTGACAAAATCTAAAAATGTTCAAATTATATAAATACTTTTGCAAGGCTTTAGCTACCAGAAGTTGTACAGGACGTTGACGGGAAACTGATTTGTACAGATACAAAGTGTCCAAGCCTAAAAAAACTGTTTCAAGCTGGAGCCATCCAGGTGATTTGTACTCATGGCAGCCATAATGCGTTTAGAGGTAATGGGTCCTTCTACTTCAGAATCAGGTTCTGAAGTAGAAGGACCTGATTCTGGCAATTCTGACATGGAAATCTGAAATTGTAAACGCAGTTGGGAATGCACCTCGACGTATTGCAGTTTCACATTTATGACTTCAGAAGCTCTTTTTAGGTTTGGGGCGTTTTTCAGCTTCAAACTTAGAAATTCCAACTTCTGGGTAAAAACTACACAGACTATTAAAACACAGCAGTTAGACAGTGTAAGTGTCTGAATATGTTATAGCACAGCATTATTACGTCCCAGTTATTGTAAACTGGGAACCAAGCTGACTGGTAAAGTTCTGCTAATGTGACTCTTGACACAGTTCTTGTCCTGGCTTGAGATTACAGTACAGACTTTACTGCAACGTATATGATGCTTCATTTTAAACTTTGAAGCTCACTGCGGTTTTCTAAAATACAGCAGATGCATTTTTTTTTTGCAGCTTGTGAAGCAGGCACTTCTATAAAATATTAATGATCAATTGTTACAAAAAATTTTACAGTTACTTTTGGGTGCACATAAAATATCCAGTTCACTTTACAGTGTTAAGTGTGGTTAAAACACACCACACTCACCGACAACTACAGCAGATAAAAGTAAAATCTGAAGATTTCAGCCTAAGATTTAGGTGAAATAAAATGTCTTTATTGTTTAAACTTTTCCACATTTTCCATGGATTTTTATGTGAAAGACCAGCATAGTTTGAGTGCAAAAAAATAGACATGCTTTAAAAACTATATATATTTTTCACAAAAGTCTACAAGGAGTGACAAGTGCACTGATGCCCTTAAATCAAAGTTCAACTGTTTGCCCTTAGAAGTCTCCTAGTTATTATGTAGTGTGTGTGATTTAATCTCAGCATAAATCCAGATGTTTTGTGATGGGCTCAAAGGTTTGTTGGAGAACATTAGTGGAAAAAAAAAAAAACGCCATCAAGGAACAGAGCAGAGGACAGGAAGGAGGAAATCTAACACAGGGTTAGGTTATAGATAAACATCCTAAACTTTGAAGACCTCAAGTAACCATTCAATCAATAATCTAATTGATGATCAAATTACTGATACATGTGCAAATTTACCAAAAATGTCCGTCATACAGACCAGGCAGGCCAGACAAGCAGAACGTGGATCAGAGAAGTAAAGGAGAGGAGCTGCAGAGATCCACAGGTTCAGCTTAGCAGCCTTTAGCAACTGGCAAGAAGACAGCCATTGTGAAGAGAAAACTATTCAATTTTTTACAAGAACACAAGAAACTTGTTGTGTGGTGACGATGGCAGCATCATACTCTGAGATTTGTCCCCAGCGTGGACAAACCTTTGGACAACCACCCGTCATTGTCCGTTTACTTCTACTTTTTGTTGTTCCAACACCTGAAATGCTAATAAAATAACAGAAGGTTGTGGTTGTAACCTGATAATACAACCAAAGACGGTCTTCAACTGATTTGCTGGCAGAAGAACAGTCCTACTAGCAAACCACTGTAAAGTACAACTGGATAGATGGGAGTCCCTGTTCTCTGTCCATTTGATCAACAATGAACATGTGTGACGGGTGTTTGAAAGATTGACAAATAGACCAAATATACATACCAAAAAATAAGAACATTTATTTTTGTTCTATATATCTATATATATATATATATATATATAAATGATTATTAGTTACATTTATTTATGAGGGTGTGCAGAACACAAAGATTGCATATATACTTCATAAATTCACAAGACAAAGCGTTTTGTATTTTTCTGGTTTATAGCATACAGTACCAAGTCTTTCATTTGTACTTTTATCATACATTTGTCATATCTCTAATTCTTCCTTCAATGTCTTCAACAGACTTATGGACTTACTTGAATACTTGGATCAAATATAGTAAATATTAGCACAAAAAAAAACAGTTAAAAGCTTTGCCGAAATGTGTACATTTAGCTTCATATCATATATTTATAAAGTGCTTAATATTTATAACTTTACTGTGTATATTATATTATTGCATGGTGTACTCCTTCGACGACGTGAAGGTTGGTATTTACATAATGTGTACAAGTCCAAGCAGAGCTGGAGATGGGAGCGAGGTCACGCTGCGATCATGACAGGGAGCAGGTCACACCGGCGTCCTCGGAGTGATTGCAGTTGTGCACGTTCCAAGATATATGGGAGCACTGCTGCAGGGAGGCCTCCGTGCCGCTGCACTTCAGATTGTCCAGAAGGATCGTTCCTGTGCCAGGTCCAAAGTGAGCCTCGCCCCATGCGTGCGTGGCTTCTCCACAGCCCACCAAGCGACACACGACCCGGGCGTCGGGAAGGTCCCAGGCGTCATCGCACACCGTGCCCCACGTCGAGTTTAGGTACAACTCCACTCGACCCTCGCACCGGTGCTGGCCGTCCACCAGCCTCAGAGCTCCTACGGTTCGATATAGACGATTCAGATTCGCCGCCGAAGCTGTAATCCATGCTAGTTTGAGGTACCTGAAGATGTACCTACCTTCTGCAGGCTTCGTGGTTGCTGGTGTTTGTTCCGTCACCCGGAAGTCTCGTGCGATTGGGATTAAAAACAAGGGGTCCAACTGTGGGGGAGCTGAAGAGAAAAGCAGAGAATGATTCTCTCACCTAGTGGACGTACACAGGAAATATCAAGTCACACATGCATTAGCAAGACGCTCTCCTCTAATTACTGCACAGATCAATAATGGAAAACTGTTTGCCTCTTGGGTTGCCTTTAACATTATGATGCAAAGATCCACTTGGATGAAGTAATTCCTCTGAAAAAAGATGTTTCTGTAATGAGTTTGATGCATGTATCCATTCAATTTGCTAGCTGAGAGAAGAGCCAGATTAAACGGCTGACTCTTTAAAAAAACAAAAATAGATTTTGTTTCAAATCGCATCAAATTTCTTTATATGGCACACAAAGTGCTGCACACAAAAACAAAAAGTAATCCCAATGTATTTAATATAAAACCAGGCGTACTTTCTCAAAAAGTTTTTTATTTGTGTGTCCAAAATGAATGCCTTAAATTTTAAGGCGTAAAACGTCAAATTAATTTAAAAACTGTAAGTTGACCTTAAATATGTCAATTGCAGATCTCAATTTTTTGTCATTATAGGACTATTTAATGTACTTTTGTTTTCCCCTCCTGGCAGGTTTTTGTCAGGCAAATGTCTGAGTCGCATCTTCATTGTTTTCTGTGACTCCAGACGACATCTAGCTAGCTAGCTTTGTTTTTATCTCCATCATGGTTCACAGTTTTTACTATGCTTGATTGCAATGCAGCACGTTTCCCAAACCGTCCCCTATATTTATAGTTTTTTCGGTCTTAAATTTAATTCAAGATGGCATTACCTTAAGAAATCTTAAATTGACCTGCTGAAAGCCGTAGATACCTTGCCAGGGATTGTTTAGCATGTTAAGAGCCTGTGTGCTTCTGATTTTTCTGTAAAGCAGCTATGTTTGGCCTGCAGACAGTCAGTGAGGCTGATTCGCCTTGACTCGTTCACTTTATTTTTTATTTTTAATGCTTTCTGTGCCGTCTCCTCCTCAGAGAACTACAGTCATGCAGCACAGGGGGACAGCTCAGCAAGGCGGGCAGAAATGATTGTGTAGATGGGGAAATATGCACTTTCAGTGGAAATTATCAGCTTTGGTGCTAATTTCACAACAAAGACAAAAAAAAGTCTCCAGATTTACCATAACGTGATAGAAATCCCAAGAATGATGAGGTCTTACGTGCACAGATGACGCCAGCATCCTCGTGATGACCACAGTTGTGTTGACCCCAGCCCAGGTGGAAGCACTGGGACAGGTCGGATTCTGTGCCGGTGCACTCCACGTTGTCCAGCAGGATGGGGCCTGAACCGTAGCCGAAGAAGGCCTGGGTCTTGGCTGCGATGGCCGGACCACATCCGAGCGCTCTGCACACCACGTTGGCGTTGGGCATGTCCCAGTCATCGTCACACACCGTCCCCCAGATGGTTTTGTAGAGGACTTCCACGCGACCCTGGCAGCTGCTGTTGCCGTTCATCACACGGACGGTCGGTTTGCCTGGAGGCGGACAGACGGACAGACAGACGGGTGTGAGAACAGATCTGCGTAATTTTGGGAAAGTACTCACACCTGGGTCAGAGTTCAGAAAGGGCTTACTGGGGCAGCTACGCAGGGCTCCAATCTTTGGGTGGCTCCACAAATTTTTAAATTTTTTTTTCTTAAATGCATGTTTTGCACACATTGTACTTTACAGAAGCATCATATGCCCATGTCTGGTGAGCTGTAATGATAATTTGTGATTTTTATGCCTATAAACAAATAATAATAGAAATGTGAAAATAATAAAGTTATGATAAATCTTTTGGGGGGCCCAAAACAGTTACTGGCCAAGTGACATATTAAGCCTACCAGGGGAGCAACTACATACTTTCTGAGATGTAAGCGAACATGTCATCGGTGCCCCAATGACATAAACTTGTACAATTCATCTTTAATTAAAGTATCTATAATAATAAATGCACATATATGTGAATAAATTGCTGCCTCCAGGGAAATTAAAACCAATGAAACAAAAAACAGGGCAATATTTCACCATTTAACATATCAGTGAGCCAAAGAGCCACTTCTGTTGGTCTGTGTCTAGAACAGCCTGTGGGCTGCAGGTCTGAGGCTTTTTGTTAGCAAGTTTTCTATCATTTCTATCATTCTTATAGGAAACCAGCTCATTTCATCTCCATATCCATCTTGGGTAAATTACAAGCAACTGTAGCATAATGATAAAATGATCAATAATGATGTAATGTGAGATAGATAGATAGATAGATAGATAGATAGATAGAGTTATATCTATATGTAGAGAGAGAGATTGATAGATATATAGATGTCTTTATATAGAGAGATACATTTAGATAAAGATATCTATATATATAATTTTCGATAGATGTAAATCTATATCTAAATTTATCTATAAAGCTATCTATACTGTGTGTGTATATATATATATATGTTTTCGTTAGTGATTAGGGCACCAAAACAAGTTCTAACCCATGGGCCCACATCCTGGTAAATCTGGCCCTGATCCACACCCTTCAATTTTTCAACAATCGTCATTTACACTCTTAAACTTTTTAACAAGTCAGATTAGATGAAGAACATCTGCAAAGAGCAGTTTTCTTGTCTTTCCCCAGATTCCTTCTTTGACATTGGTCTGGATTTTGACTGGGACATTCTATTAGATGAATGTACTCCATCCCTCTCCCCATCAACTTTGTCCAGTTTCTCTCTTTCTGTCCTCCTGTCCTCACAGCGTGATGCAGCCACTACCATGTCGTACAGTGACATCACCCTCAAAACATTTGTAAACCACCTATCATTTTCCTTCCAGTTCACAATTATGTACTACTATATGATGTTGTATCATAGGCTATAGATCCAATAAAATGACCTGCAGGTTTTACAATACAAACTTATGATGTGAATAATATTCACATCATAAGATGTGAATATTATTCCTAGACAATGAACATAAAATGGAAAACTACCTTTGGTTTGGGTAGTCGTGGTTACAGTTGTTGTAGTTGTTGTAGGCTTCGTAGTTGAAATTCTCTCTGTGACTGAAGGAAAGAAAGGAAAAAAAACTTATTCAGGATCAGTATATTCATTCTTTTATTTTTCTCTGCTTTACGTTTTTGTTTTTTGCTTACTAATGATCCTAATCCAGTGAAACTACTCTGAAGTTTTAACGGTTGGAAGATAGCAGCTGGCTTAACTCGCTTACAAACTTATTCTATATTTCATATTTAGTTTAAATAATGGTTAATAATCATTAGTCTGAATTGAAACATATAAATATATGGATTCATGCTATTACATTTA